GGGTACAAGATCAACATATAAAAATCAATTATATTTCCATATACTAACAACTAAATTAAACTATAAATTAAATACAGATTTTAAAAATAGCATTTATATTACATTATAACATCAAAAATATATCAATTCTCAGCTGGGTGCAATGGCTCACGCCTGTAATCCTAGCACTCTGGGAGCCCAAGGCGGTAAGACAGCTTGAGCTCAGGAGTTCGAGACCAGCCTGAGGAAGAGTAAGACCCTGTCTCTATTAAAAATAGAAAAATTAGCCAGGCATAGTGGCGCAAGTCTGTAGTCCCAGCTACTCAGGAGGCTGAGGCAGGAAGATCACTTGAGCCCAGGAGTTTGAGGCTGCAGTGAGCTCGCTGACCCACTGCACTCTACCCTGGACGACAGAGTAAGACTCTCTCGGAAAAAAAAAAAAAAAGGGGCAGGGGGTGGGGGGAAAGATGTCAATTCACCCCAAATAGAACTATAAATTCAATGAAATTCCAATCAAAATCTCAGACTTTTTTCCCCCAAAAAACTGACAAGCTGTTTTAAGACTTACATACAAAATGATTTATATGAAAATGTTAGAGGACGTGCACTACCTGATTCAAGACCTATTATAAAGTTACAGCAATTAAGACAGCATAGTATTGGTATAAACACAAACAGCTCAATGGAACAGAACAGAATCCAGAAACAGACCATCAACTGATTTTTGACAAAGGTCAAAAGCAATTCAGTGGAGACAGTCTTTTCCATAAATGGTAGTGAAACACCGGATATCTAATTGTACAAAAATGAACTTTGATCCGTGTGTTATATGATATACATAAGTTAACTCAAAATTGATAATAGACCTAAATGTAAAGCCTCAAACTATAAAAATCACTAAAAGAAAATATTAGAGGAAATCTTTATAACTGCTGGTTAGGCAAATATTTCTTAAATATGACACCCAAAATACCATCCATAACAGGAAAGTGTTAAATTGGATTTCATCAAAATTAAGAATTTCTATTCTTTGAAATCCTGTTAAGAGAATAAAAAGACAAGCCACAGACTGAAAGAAAACATTTGCAAATCACATATTTGATAAACAAATTATAACCAGAATACAAAATTCTCAAATAATACGAAAACAGACAACCTAACTAAAAAATGCATGAAAGATCTGAACAAATACCTCACCAAAGAGTATTTATGGATGTCAAATAAGCACTTGGCTCAACATCAGTCATCATTTCATTAGGAAAATGAAAACTAAATCCATAATGAGATATCATTACATACTCTATTAGTTTGGCAGTTTCTTAAAAAGAAATACTGTATGTTCTAGTCATATCACTACTAAGTATTTTTGAAATTTATTCATGTTGATACATGTAACTCTACTTCATTCATTTCAATTGTCGTAGTTTTCTAGTGTATGAACAATACCAGTTTATCAATTCTCTTTTTGACAGACATTGAGTTTGCTTCTAAGTTTTCACTGTAATAATGCTGTTATGATGTTAGATCTTATGTGAACATCTGAGCTTCTTTAAGAAACTGTCAAATTACTCTTCAAAGTAACTGTACCAATTTTCACTCCCATTGGCAGTGTGTGAGAATCCCTATTGCTCTACTTCATTACCAATACTTAGTATCATCAGACTTCTTAATTTATGCCAATCTAACGAAAATGACATGATATTTCATGTTTCATTTTAAGTTTCATTTCTCTATTGGTGAGAGTTAATACTGCATTCATAATTTACATTTGCTTTTTTATAAATTGCTTATGTGCAATCTTTCTCTTCTATTGATTTATATTTATATACATAATTTACATTGATTTACTATCCTTGAGGGATATAAATAGATTATATACATCAACATAAATAAAAAATGAAGACTGCCTCAACTCTTACTCCCACTGCTTAAAAGCTTAGGATCTCAGTTCTTCATCTGTAAAACAAGAACAACCTCCTCACAGGGTTGTTATGACGATTAAATGAGTTGATGTATATACTTAAAGTGCTTAGAATAATGCCTGGAACACAGTATGTGCTCTAAAAGTATCAGCTCCTATTAGTTGTTTCAGATAATTTTTTGCTAGTAGTATTGGTTACAAATACTTTCTTACATGCTGGGACTTATCTATTTACTTTCTTTAAAGTGTGTTTCGGAAAAAAAGTGTGTTTGTTAAGAAGAGAACTTCTAAATTTTCATTCTTTCCCTGTGACGTCTATGTTCTTAAAACACTGTTCTTTCCCTGAAGCTCCATCTGTTTGTGAGAAAGGTCTAACCTTCCCTTTCATATCTTCATTTAGTCTTACAGAAAGAAAATGTGATCTGTACAACTTTAATTTACAATTATATTAAAATTTATTCCTAAAAATCTCATATTTAACAGAATATTAGGAATAAATTTTAATCACAAAAATTTTTTATTATAAAAAACATTTGTCCTTAACCAGCTAGTAGATTTATATCTTAATATAATAAACAAGATAAAACTTAAAATACACAGCTATATATAGTCAATCCTCCATATCTGTTGGTTCTGCATCCATGGATTCAACCAAATGCAGATCAAAAATACTCGAAAATAAAACGGATAGCTCCATCCATACTGAACATGTACAGACTTTTTTTTCTTGTCACTATTCCCTACACAATACAGTTGTAACAACTATTTACATAGCATACACATTGTGCTAGGTATTATAAGTAATCTAGAGATGATTTAAAGTATACAAGAGGATGTGCATAGATTTTATGCAAATACTACACATTTTATATAAGGGATTTGAGCATCCGTGAATTTTGGTATCCACAGGTGGGTCCTGGAACCAAATCCCCACAGATACCAAGGGACAATTGTATAAACAGAATAAATTTACAATCACTCTTACCCTATGGCATCTTTCAAAGGCTTGTTTGGTTTCTTGTAAAAGATTAACCACCACTTCTTGGGATAGAAAAGTTTCCCCATGAGTATCAATACTTGGCCCCAGTGGTAAGTTGGTACGTTGTCTAATTCTCTCTTTCAAATCTTGAATACTAGTACATCATATAGACAAATGAAAAAAGAACACTTTAGACAGATTTCAACTTCAAGTACTCTCAAACTTAGTATATATCAACAACAAAAATGGACCAATAGCCAAGAAAACTAAACTCAAATTCCAATAACTACTTTTGTGAAGTGAAGCAAGCCTTGATCTCTAAACAGAAGATTTTCATTTGACAAATGAATAGATTTGGACTTATGATCTCTAAAGTCCCTCTCAGCTTTACAATTCTGACTCAACAGCTAAAAACTCATTGGGTTTCCTCAGGAAGTAAGCTATTCCAAATAAGTTAATATTCCAAATAGCTGAATAGTCCTGTTTAAAACTAAAACTTTAAAATTTTAATGATTTTTAAATGTATTTAATCATTTAAACATATTGCACATTTCTTTACCATATTAAACAAGATATATTAAACATAATTTAGCTTTTCTTAATGACTGAGGGTCACCTGGAACACTTTTCATATGGGGTATCTTCAGGTTAGAGTTTTTTTTCTCCTAGAATACACAGCTCCAGACTACTGGCAACTCATTTTTTTAAAATTTTCATGATTGCTCTTTTGTTTTTCTCTTCCCTTCCTTGCTACTACCTTTCAGATGTTACCTCTTACTCTTAATTATAACTTCTGATCATTATTTAATTCACAACAAACTGGAAAACAAGAAACTGGTTTGGGTGTGTATGTGATGTGTGTAGACTCTGGACTTTGATGGTATGGTTCCATAGAAGTCATTCTGTCTCCTTCTTGCATCAACCAGGTTCTAGGCAGTTAAGCTCTGGTAACCGAGATGCCAACAATTCTTACGGCAAGTCATTTTCTTCTAGTACATGAGTAATTATAGGCTTTAAGGTATTAATTTAACAGTTTTATGCCAAAGTCATTGAAAAGACTCATCAGTTCAAGGTACCTAAACTGTGAACTATTTGCTATTTTTTTCACACTTGCAATAATAACAAAAAAATGATGTGCTTCCCAGTCAATAACCTATAATAATTTACTCCAATTGGAAAAAAAGAAAAAAGAAACTATAGAACTCTTTATATTACTGGTATTCTGCTTTACAGTTTTTAAAATTAGTTTATTTTTTAATTGACAAATATCTGCTTTACATTTTAATCATGTTACGTTAGATCATTTTAGCATGTGGTTTAAGAGCAGGATTAGATCAATAACCTGGGTTAGATGAATTCCTCATCGAAAATTCCAATGACAGTCAATATTTGATAAGTTTGCCCAAATATAATAAGGTTCTTAATATTTTCAGTTTTAACTATAATATTTAAGAAAAATACTTACCCTCCTGTGCCAATAGATCTCTTTTGATGGTTTTTTGAATCATAATAGCGTTGTAGGATCATAGCACTTCTGCTTTTCAAATATCCAGTCTCCACCTCAATATAGTTCTCCAAATAGGAAATGAAAATGGATTTGATAAGCTTAGACAAGAAAGTCTGTTTATCAGTACCTAAATTAAACTCCATCAACTTGCTGGAAAGATTGGTGGTTCTTTTCATGGAAAAGGGGAGAAAAAGATTAATATATATTTTAGGTGTAGTAATAATTCTAAGGAATATATATTTTTACAATGTGACTTTAATGACTTATGTTAAACCACCATTTCTTAAACCACGGAAGAATACTTACGATGCAAAGAGCAGCTATAGAGAGTTATATATAAATTAGAGTAGAACATTACAAACAAGATTATAGTTTTGAGAACTGTCACAAACTCATAGGAGAAGAAACTGTGAAACAATGAACTAGTCCAGAAATGGCAATAGCAGCAGATTGGCCTCAAGTATGCTTTAATGCCATTAATCACATGGTACCCAAAACAGAGTACTGAGAGGTCTACTCTCTGTTCACCCTCTTTTGTCTTTGTCCATATGGACTTTCCTCTAATTTTCTATTTCCCATTGTTGAAGACAGTGTCACAACAATGTTGTTGTTGAGATGGACTTCCTCATTATGGTAACTTTAGAAATAACTTCTCCCAAAATGAAGACACTGAAGAATAGCAATAGAGTTGGAAAAAGTCAAGGAAAAAAAAAACTCTGCATGAAGCTTCTGAGATAATCTAAGAGTAACACTGTCATTTACAAAAGCACAAGACAATTCTCCTATCAGACATTAGGCTGAAATTGTTATTTTTAAGAATATGTCCCTTTCTTCTACAATTTCTAAAGTTGAAACTGCAGAAAAATGTAATTATATTAGTACTTAGAGAAAAAAATAAAGAATAAACTAGCTCACAATTAAAATCAGAAACGAAATTCTTTAAACAAGGTAAACAAGGTCTTAAGTTTCATTAAAGTACATTAAGATAAAGAATAACATTTAATTCCTCAGATTAATATACTAAGAATGCTATTCTTATACAATACTAGACTATATAGACCAACATGTAATGCTAAAAGGTACACTGCTATCTGACAAACTGTTATTCAAAAATACCTAAATATTTCCCCAATTTCTATTTAAGATAAATAAAATCTGATATCTATTACTTTCCAATAATTAAAAATATACCTTGTATACAGATCATAGAGATTTTTGAGATACTGCTCTGCATCGGACTTCCTACATTCTTCTAACTGGTCTTTCACAAAACTCTAAAAGAAAAAAAGTCAACATTTTGTTAATTAATATTAAATTCTATTAAGATATTTTTTTCTTTAAAAATCACTCCAGTTTTAAACTTTTCTGACTTAAAATCCAATCAAAAAGGCAATGCATAGAAAACAGACCAATTATAACAAATAAAAAAATAGGTTTTTAAATTTTACTGCTTCTCATTTTACCTGTAAAAGATCTATATCAGTTCTTAGCAATAAGTATTAAGAATTTAGAAATACTTCTTTTGAAACTGGCCTATTTTGTTTCATGAGGTACATCAAAAACAAAAAACAAAACTGAGGCTACAATAGAGTCAATTCCTTAGAGCAGTATTTCCCAAACTGTGGTCTAGGTAACACTAGTGTTCCTTGAGACACTGAGATAATCATTACTCTAAAATAAGATTTCATGGTCAGTAAATATGGTAAATGCTGTACATTACAACCCTACTTCCAGAGAATCACAATACATATTAGTACCTCTAAAGACTTCAAAAGTCTTCAGACTTCCAAAGTCCTGAATTGTGTTTTAAAAAACACTTATTGAATGTTACTTAATCCAGTGGCAAACACAGTTTAGTAGTAAACATGTCTGAAAGTATAGCATCATGGGAGTCAAGGCTGTAAATTAAATTCCTGTGTTTTTACGTTTCATGTTAGCACTATATTATAAAAAATTCTACAGCTTGCACTTGTAACTCTTGTTCAATTTCACAAATGTCATCTATTGGGGAAGGCAAGGACCAAAAAAAGAAAAATCCGAGGCTACCTTACCACGATATATTACTACTGCTAACGCTACACAAATTTCAAGCATGTGCTCTGGTAACACATTGATTAGCACCTTATTCTTGGTGAATAACAAAACATTTCTTTTAAAGCATGATGATTCCTTTCCCCTTAACTAGATTACTATTCCTAAGGTCACTATATAGATCAACTAAATTTTTAAATATAGGGAAAAAAATATCACAAATTGCCTTAATAGTTACTTAATTTGTCACTATTTGAAATTACCTGTAGTTTGATTTCAAATACATTTTGAATAAGTTTAGCCAGTACTGTTTCTGGATTACTAAAGATGTCTCCAACTTGTTTGTTCACTCGTTGACAGAGTATTGCAGCATCTTCAAATATATCGTTTCTCAAGTAAGCACCCTAAATAGCAGAGGCATTTTACACAGTGAAAATATAATTTTTAAAATGATTTTAAAATGCAAATTAGCATAAAATGAAATCCAATAAAGTATACTGTTATGTTACCTCCTGGCACTGCTTTATATAAACATCGACACAATGGGAATAACCCTACAAAGAAGAAACACATTGTTATCACTGTTCTGGTTCAATTATAATAATAATCATCATCTCAGTAAGTGTTACATGTAATAAAGCTATGTCTATGTCCCAGCGAATGGCCAAAAGCAATTGTTGTTGGACTTAGATAAAATTAATTGTAGAGAACCAAAAACTTAATTAGTATAGTTGTCTTCTTTCTGTCACTTTCTATGATGAAATTTATCAGCTGGTTTATATCCTTGCTGGACTTTAGACTGAAAGAGGAAAGCTGAGATATAACTGAGTCCTTTACCATAATTTTTGCCCTATGATCATCTAGCCATCTCCTTCAACTCCAAAACACACACACACACACACACACACACACACACACAGATTTAATGTCTTGAGAAAAGGTTTTACATATATATATTTCCTTCTTTCCTGTCTTGGATTCAAAGCATTTGCTTTCCCTTGCAAGAATCTGGACAGAACTATAACTGGCTGTCTGGAAATTTACTTTAAAAACTGAATCTATTTTAATAAAGTGTGTTTAAAACAAATTAATTTGTCATACTAAGCTAACTATAATGAGATTTTTGCCTATTAACAAATCATACATAAAAACAAGGTAAGCAATATCAAGTGCACCACTGACTCTCAAGAGCCATTCTCAATATTCAGATGTTACCAAAATGAAGTCTAACAAGCAGCTTCCCGTTCCCTATTGTGATAGAAATATTCTGAAGAAACAGATTGAAGTAACAACTATTTAAGCACTTTCTTTGCAGAAATATACTTCCACACAGTGATTTTCTTCCCATTTCAAATTCCAAGAAGACAGCTCCATAATACAACATTTCTTTTTATTATCTCCTGAGAGTCCCTGAATTTAAGTCTTTTCCTAGTTATATTCCATCTACTCTCTGGTTCCTATATTCCAAATATAGGATATTTACGGTCAAGTTTTCTTGTTTTTGACCTATTTCATAACATGCTTGACTGAAAAAGATACATTAAAAAGCAAGAAAGCAGACAATAGAATTTTATACAATTATATAAAAATTCACTGGTATATTAATATTATTGAATATAAAATCCTTATTTAGATTTTTAGTGCCTAACACTTAACATCATTTACAGAAAGAGATAAAAGGTACATTCAAATTATTCAAAACAATGAAAATTATCACTATGATAGCTATACAACTAATAGCGGAAAATCAGAGACCATAATATATAGAACCTATAAAATCTTCAGAACTTTGAAAATTAGTCTTCATTTTAAATTTGTACTATTTACCTTAAAATGAAGTAAAACTGCTGCTACTTCTCTCATTCTGGAGATTTCACCTCTTCTTTGAGCACTGGTAAACTCTTGAATCAGTTGGCATTCTAAATCATGATATTTACCTAAAAATAAAGTCATTCAGCTACACTGAGGCATGTGAGGTATCCAAGTTATTTAAGAGTATCTAAATTATTTACAAATACAATAACTATGGATCTAGTTTTCTTTTGAAAGAATTACAAAAACAACATGAGATCATAGGCAGTGGATCTAGCCCCCACAATATATTAATACCATGGTATATAAATCTATATTTTCAAGACACAAAAAACTTCCAAAGTGGTAAAATAGGTACGCTGCCCAGGGTTTGATTGCCATTTACCACTGTTACTTAAACCAGCAGATGACTGAAAAAAATCTTCCAGATGCCATCTCTAACAGCAACAGAGAGCAAAATCTTGAACATGAAGCTATGGAAAGGGTGAAGAGGACTAAAGAATTCTTTACTTGAGATTAGATGTTACCACCATGAACAATGGTTGACTGAACACCAAATTTCATCTTAATATGTAGTATTCACTATATTTTTGAGGTTACTGCGGATTTTAATGAACACCTGAACTTCCGACTAATCTATAGTGATCAAAAATATTCCCAGGACGTCCAACTATCTGTGTCACCCTTATTCTAACACTTTTGGGAATACAGCCACCTATATTCTTTGAACATATATATATATATATATATATAATAAATATATATTCTTTGAATCTTCTATGGAATGGTCTATCATACAGGTAACCAAGCTACAAATATAGCGGTCTTTCCAGAAACCGAGAATGATCTAGCCTAAAATATAATCAAACACAGGCAAAAATCAAACTAATCATGTAAGGAATTAAATAGGTACTGAAATACTCACATAATCTTAGCTTTCAAAAAAAGAAGCTTATTCAGAGATATATGTACGGATGCAAAACAATTTCCAAAATAAATTGTTAAATGAAAAGCCCACAGTCTAAAGCTATTTGTTTAGTATGCTACCAATTACTTTTACATAAGTGAGGAGAGTAGAACCGTGTGTGTGTGTGTGTGTGTGTGTGTGTGTGTGTGT